CTTCATCGCGCTCATGGAGCAATTCCCCGCTCTGTGGGACAATAGTCGCGACGACTACTCAAATAATCATCTAAAGATGTCCCCATGGCTTTTCTCGGTTCACTCAAGTCCTCCTCGTCCTCAATAGTCAACGCCAGGACCACTGCGGGACAGTGTTGTACACGTTCCTCAAAAAAAGGAACGAAAGCTCGTTCCTCGTTCCTTCTGATTTTTGGAACGCGTTCCCGTTACAAGTTCCATCTGTGAGAAAGGAACTCGTTCCCGTTACAGTTTAAAAAATGGAACGTTTCGTTACATATATGTTACTTTTGTATTTTTCTAATGACCATACTTAGATAGATCAAGCAAAGCGTTTTTTTTTATCTATCCCATCAAATGGGAGTTTATATGTCGACATGGAAGGGCACCAGGAGGAGAAAACAAGCGGAATCAGGCTTTTATTTGTTCATATATTCAAGTTTAAAAATCTCAGCTTTTAACCAGATTCATGTTTGTGGTGAACGATTCAGACAAGCCAAATCTACTGTTACCCCACATTGCACGAGCGTTTTACAATAACCTCACACGTTTCAATCTAACAAAGTCCCTTGTTCAAACTTAACAGCAGTTGCTCCTCGATGTTGCTGTCCTCAAGACGAGCAAGTGAAGGAGAGGGCATGCTTTTGGAAGTTCAGTCTTGAAAACTACAAGTCCTTCTTTGTGAAGGTTGGATTCGTTGTTCAGTTTGAAGGTGGGGGACAAAGGGAGAAGGAATAAAGGTTAATTTCTGTGTATCGTTTTAGTCACCCATGTTCGGGATACAAAAGTGCGTTCGATATATAGTGACCTGTGATTTTTTTGTAACTGTAGGTCTCTTTATGAAAGTTCAGAAATGGCTGTAGTCGGCCTTAGATGTCTGGGTGTATGTGGATTTGTGGAAGCAAATAACGTAGCTAAGTTTGAAACGCCCCTCTTTGTGTCTTTTCGTGCGACTAAACGTTTTGCTTTTTGTACCGCAGTCTCAAGCACAAAAAAAAAAAAAAAGAACATTGATGCTCACTAATTTTCCAGCAACCGACTGTTACTATGCGAGGACTACACAATATAAATCCTAAGATAAGTAGCCAAAACATGAACGAGTCAAAAACAATATTTTCGTAACGATATAGCTTTTATACCTTTAAAATTTCCCTCGTAAAAATAGAATGAAAATGACCCCACTAAACAAAAAAAAAAAAAAGGAACGCCGTTACTCTTTCCGTTCCAGTAAAAATGTAACGAGTTCCCGTTCCAGTTCCAGCGATGTAAAATGGAACGGCGGCGTTCCTTCGTTCCTCCTAAAAGGAACGCGTTCCAGGAACGCCGTTCCTTGGAACGCCGTTCCGTACAACACTGCTGCGGGAAACGTCTCTTTCGTTCAACCTCCCTCTTGGCTCCTTACAAATATCCTCAAAGCAGCTCGCTGCATGCGTTTGGCGGAGTTGTGAGGTCGAGGGTTAGACCGGCCCGTTCGCTCTGTCGTCTGCTCTTTTGGTCCGCGGTGTGGATGCTCATTGCAGCCGGGCGGCCCGCGGGCCGCGCATCACGTGATCAATCGGTCCGCGGCCCGGTCCGTCGTGTGGATACACCTTTAGGGTCTAGCCTTGACCGTCCTGCGTCCGTACTCACATCGATCTTGCTGGTGCTCGTGATCGTGCTCGTGAGCTCACGTGCTCGTGTAAGGCAAAAAAAAAAAAAAAAGAAAAAAAAGAAACCTTTGCGCAGTCGAGAGGATTCGAACCTGTGCGGAGAGACACCAATGGATTTCTAGTCCATCGCCTTAACTACTCGGCCACGACTGCGAGACGAGCAGGGGGCTCTGAGATGTGGTAGTAACTCAAGAGCTGGGGATGTCATTGATGAAACGTTGCATCTAGCCGCTCGACGTCTATACGGGAGAGGGCGCCGCGGTCAAATGCTCAAATGCTTATGTAACCACGTTCCATACTACACATTCTCTTTCTGACATGGATTAAAATGAACAAAAGGCTCGGCATGCTGCGGCTCACCATCTACGCAGACAAGCACCACCAAAGGTTCGCCCCAATCAACATCATTCATCACGTGGAAATGCGGTCAATTTTTTTGTTGGAAGGAAACACTTTGAACTCGGGAGTTTGCCTAAAATTGTTTGGACGGGGAGTTCGGTTCTTAGTATCAGTATGCTTCCCTCTTTGTTGTGGTCCAGCAAACTAACAAAGTACGATTTGAAAAAAAAAAAAAAAATAGAAAAAAAAGATTTGAATTGAGGCTTTAGGTGACGTGAAGAAAGGTTTTGAACATCTAAAGAATGCCAGGACTTGCGTTTTGTAAATGCAGGTGACAGTTTAATTCTCTTACAAATATATATATATTACGATTTTTTTCTCGATATCTTTAAAGACCGACGACCAGTTCGCGCTTTCCACTTTTCCCCCGCTTTCTCCTCTCCCCCTTCTACCCTGCCCACCGTTGCCGGTTTGCTTCTCCCCCATGGTGAGAAGGATCTTCTGTAGTAAAGTGGTTAGTTGGGCAAGTTGGTAATGATTGAACATGGTTAAAATTACGCACGAATAGAAAGGAACAAAGAAGAGAGAAGAGACAAGCGCAAGCTCACAACTCGATGTTTGTAGGAAGACAAAGGAACAGCCCTCGGTATCAGCTCGAGCCGAGGCCACACTCGCACGGGGACACCCGAGCACGCGGAGGACACACACCATCAACCACACTCAAACGACTGTAGAAAGGTTATTTCCTGGCTGACACTATTTCTATTTGTGCGCAATTTTAACCATGTTCAAGGATCTTCTGCCTTGCAGAATCTCGAGTCTGGTCGTCGGCTTTTAAGCTCCCGCATTTTTCCTCCGCGAATGAAGAGAAAAATGTCACGAATTAGAATCATCCTCTTACGTAAATAAGTAAGGAAATTACTCTACAATTACTTTCTGAAATATGTAATTATTCCCTTACGAAATTACTGCTAAATGTAAGGGATCACAAGTAATTTCATTACTTGTGACGGAATACGTACCAGTCTGGTAGAGAGGGTCCATTTCAAACGGGTCGCCCTTTGCAAAGGTGCATTGGGCGACGGAGGCGGAGCCACCGTGATGAGATCGTAACTCGGATAGATTAACTAAAAGCAAAGGCCCTTGGTATGGGGCGGCAGCTTGCACCACCCAGCCTAATTTCTTTTTTTTTTTCTTCATTTTTTGCCTGTTTTGGTGCACTTTGCGGAAATTGCCTTTTTCAAACAAATATCTCTAAATCAAATACCTGCATCGGTCAATTTCAAAAGGGCGGTAGATTGCATAATGCATCCGGGGCATTACTTCTCCTGATGGTTCCATATGCTACATGTCAGAGCTTGAAGGTTTCGTTTTGTATGAGTGACTTTTAGCGTATCGAAAGCAATAAGCGCTCACGGAAGCAAGGTCTCACTTATAAGAGATTCTGATGCTACCAGGAAGGAGATCCTGCGGAAGCACATCAAGGGTCTGAAGAGGCAAGGTGCTGAATGGACTGGCTTTGTGGAATCGAAGGGCGCCCAATTGGAGCTCTCACCTGCGATTTATTGGCAATCAACATCTTCTGCCAGACTGGGTCGTCTACAGTTGAAAACGAGCGTGTTGGTTAATAGATACAAAACTTGAAAGTATAAAACAGAGAGGACGAGGACGGGAACATGTAGGACATGGTCGTCGCAGTACGAATCAGAAGAACAGCAAAATAAAATGGCGTCCTTCGAAATACTCTAATTAATTAAAGAAAATAATAATTTTTTTTTAGCCAACACTTCTGTGTGTATTTTCTCTTGTTGCTTTTTCTGTATTTTGTAGGCGGTCAAGAAGATGTCAAGCTCTGTCCATTCTTATTTTGAAAAAAAAAAAAAAAAATTATTCTACCAGACGAGAGCATTGTCTAATTAAAAAAAAAAAGAAAAGAAAACAACAGTAAAGCTTTCCGAACGTAATAAAAAAAAATATGTTAAAGCACACAGCCGCACCACCAAAACGTTCATTATACAGACGTTTATATGTTCATTATACAGACGTCGTTGCCGTCGCGTGCACAAAGACCAGTGCCTCTCGCGCCCGTTTCGGTCATTTGGCAGAGGGTTAAAAGGAGAGAGTAAGCAGAGATGGTTCCTCAGCGTCAATTGCTTCTCTGAACATGACGGTTCAAAGCGGTGAAGCTTGGGGCGAGCCCTGCGCCCCTGCGGAGGACTGGGGATTCATTTCGACCACCTGGAGATTTTCTGAGGAGCAAGCGAAAGCTCAGTCACACGACTCCTTCCCCGCAATTAGCCTTCGTTAAATTGCGGGCACAACGGCCGGGATTCATACCCACCAAATGGGGATTTGTCTACCGGCTATTTTCCCCAGAGCCACTGCAGGCACCCAGTACCGATCTCACCACCCAGTTTGACGCCATCGCTGCCGCAATGCATCGATGGAACTTTCGTCTTTCTGCACGTGCGATAACCTCGCTGGAGCTCTGCGCGTGCACATCACGAGACGGCACGAGCCGTTTCGTGCAGTGCCGTCTGCCTCCCGTTAACTAAAGTTATGGCGGCGTCACGCATGCGCCGAACGATTGGCGAGATCGGCCTGTTGGCTCGATTCTCGTTCAGCGACTCCATCAGGCATCACAAACGCGCATAAAACATCGAGCCACTTGACTATTTCCGGACGCGTGAATTGGACAAGATCGCTCCACCCAATGCCAACTCAGCGCTCGTCAGCAGTTAATGCGCTGTATTTAGTCAGCGGGCATGACGCTACAACGAAGTATACAAACCTGGAATTCTTCAAGAGGTGCTGACTATGCGAAGAAGTAGCAATGGATACGGCTTAACCTTTCGAGGCAAGCGACTGCTAAATTAGAAGTGCCGTAGTCCCTTGTGCAGCGATATCCGACGGTCAGTTCGACAAGGTTTGCATATGTAAATTCCGACACTCTTTGAAATCAAGGTATTGCACTGGATCGAAGGGACACAAACAATGACTACAAAAAGCTTTAATTGCCGATAAATTAAAACTCGGGTTTGAAATATAAGATCCTTAAGAACGCCAGGTTTAATAAATACATGTTTTGCACGTTTTGAATAGACCAGACATCCGTTGTTCGAAATAAAGAGCGTCAAAAAGAAGTTTATGTTCTACTAGCTTGAAAATTTTGCAAACAACCAGAAAGGGCGAAAATGCTGTTCAAAAGCAGAACATGGGCATTCGATTTTTTTTAAACTGATGTCTGAAAACAACTGCACTTTGAAGTGAGCCAAGCAGAAACACTGCACCCCGTCAAGCTTCCAATTGCAAGCCTTTTGTCCAGTGTCCGCGGAACCAAACTGTTGTAATAAAGTTCTAGCTCAAGTTCTTGCCACACATTTAAATACATCACAATATACATGACATCCCAAAGGTCTAATGAACTGGGACAATGAATGCACCATCAAGAAAGCTACTCAACTGAAGAAAATAAAAAAAGATTTCTCGAACTTACAGCCTAGCACACACAACCTTCATTCAATATTACACGAGCATCATGACACAGAAAAGGCTACACTATGGTGCCTAGAACGGTGTGTTTAGCGTCCTGCCCATATCTCAAGAGTGGCTGCGAAGTAACAACACATGACGTCACAAAAGCCTGAGCGTCATGCTGTCGGATGACGGATGTCGCGATTCTGGTTGGTCGAAGAAATGCTGGCGAAAGACACCAGTGAACGCGAGTGTCGCTGTCGTCGCAGCGTCCCAACTTTTGGCTGCCGAAGCGTCGGGGGACTGTCAGGCTGGGAGGCGACCTGCAGCAAAACAGGCGTCTGCCACACGCAACACCGCTGCTGGGACGCCGCCAGGATCGCGGCCGGCGACAGCATGACGCATCTATGACGTCACCAGGCGGAAATCGAGGGACCACTTTTTGGGGGCGAGGTAAACACACCAGTCGGAAGCGCGTTCCAGGCACCATATCACTACACATCTATCACGTCGAAGGAATGTAGAGACTCACTGATTCTACTCTCTAGAGTTGACTCTCGGTTTCACGAAACAGCACTGGGCCTCAGAAGCGTACTACAGAGAGACACGATCACAAGACCTACAGGCACGTCGCTGATGAGGTACTGTTGCGTGAAAATTAAGCTAGCATTTGCACGCGTTGCCGGCCTTTCACGGTAAACGTGTCGATTGGTGACATTAAATAGTCTTAGTGTTTGGGATTATTTGTATCTGTCTTCAGAGCAGCACCGCTTTGTTGTCTTCAGATTCTTTTTGCTTTCTATTGTTGCTGTACAAGTGTTACAGTGCATAAAGAAACTATCTATGACATTTTTTGTTTTTGTTTTTCATATCTACGAAAGTGCATTTTTCCGAACTTCAAAATGGTTTGTAAGTATACTAGATATCTTGTCGTCATGCAGGAACAAAAATGTGGCTCCGGACTTTGGAAACAATCATGCTAAAAAAAAAAAAAAAGTTTCAGCCTTAGTTTCAGTCCTTTATATTATTTTTGTGTCGCAACTTTAAAAACGAACGGCACTGCGCCTGCTCTTTAGGTATGAATCTTGTATCCATTCTGCTCTTTTCTTTGTACATCGATTTTAATAAAACCCTTCTTTGTGTGTATTTTGTGTGTCCAAGATTCAGAGAAGTATTATGTTTACGCCAGCATCAAAACTCGACAACTGCACACGGGTGGCATGTGAGCTTGTCGTAAGCTGCTCTCTGAAATCATTTTATCCGGTATACGTTGTCTGGTGTTTTGCTGCCTGCAAGTCTCACCAGATCCCACCCACTTTACGTATTGCCACTCGTCAGCGGTCTCCAACCCCTCAAGTTGACGCCGCCGTGATCTAGGCTACGACATGATTGCTCTGTGATGTCATTGAAGCCGGTACAAAGCCGCAACGTTCTTCACTCTGCCACTCGTTCTTTGACTAGATTCTGCAGACGCTGTGCCAACAGCAGCTCGGGTTCGTCTCCCTCTCTCTCGAAGGAAGGAACCGACAATGGCGCCTCTCAAGGTTCGTTGTCGTCCCTGTTCTTCTGCTGCACCTTGCGCGGGTCCTCGGGAGTCCAGATTTTGGCGACCATGACGTTGCCCGTGGGCCCCTGCTTCTCCGACGACCAGGACAGGGAGTGTCCGGCCAGAGGGAGGTACGAGCCGCTCAGGACACCTGTGCGAACGGAGCGTGCACACGCGGTTTTTTGGGATTAGATATGTCACAACCACAACTGAGACAACATCGCAGCGTACTCAGACCCGCTTTTTGTTTATAAAGGGTGTCGGATATTCCTAAGCCGGATCTGAAATCGGCCAACCAAATCAGAGCCTGCACGTAGCAATCTCACATGTTCACCGAAGATGCGCTTTAGCTGTGAATTTTACATTGTGAAATTTCAAGGCGTGACTTCTTTCCTGTAATAAATGAGTCCGACAAACGTGTCGGGGTCAACGGCGGACGTGCTTGCGGACGACCGAGCGCCAACTTACGACAGGTGGAACGAGCAGATGACCAGCTCGTCAGTTGTGGGCTGAGCACGTCGTTTGCTCGCTGCGCCCATTGGTAGATGTCGCCACAAGTACAACCGTCAGTAACTCGGTTGCCACAAACACGTCCGCCATTGACTCTGACAAGATTGTTGTTTTCACTTTGCAAAGAAAAAAAAAAGAAAGAGGATACGCCTTGAAATTTCACAAGGTAAAATGCATCATTCAAACACGCCCATGGAAGCAATTTGAGATTGCTACATGCAGGCGTCGAGTTTTCTTCAAATTTTAGCTGCAGCCTCGGGATTTTTTACGCCTTATTCTTAAAAGGCGAGTTTGTGTCCAAAAGCTTCGAAGCACTGCGCATGTGGAGGAGGCCGTTTTTTGAAGACAGGATCATTTGCACGCGCACCATTCCACAGCGATTGTCACTGCCTTGGACAGACATCACAGACATCCGTAGGTGTATAGCGAAACGATGTATAGAAAACAGTCACGCAGCCTGCCTACTGTTAATATATTTAGCTCTTTTTCTACTTTATAGTTTATGTCTTTGTTGATGTCAAAAAAAGCGACACAACGTAAAAAAAAAAACGCTCTGTGCTTTTCAAGAAGTGGCAGAATGGCACCACAAAATATCACAAAAACAGTGTCCTTATCTACTGCTATAGGCAATAACTGAGGGGGCACGAACGTACGCAAAGGGACATCACTACTGAATCACGTTAATAGACAATTTTAGTATAGCGTTGCTGGACCTTACTTACGCAATACGCAATAGTATAGCGTACGCTAAAAATGACCTACTCGGACCGAATTTAGTTGTGCGTTACGTTTTCGAGTGAACACCGCGCATGATCTTGGTTAAATTTGCTAGAGTCGTAGAATTCCGCGTGCTTATAGCGCAACCATGCTCTTGGAAAGAAATATTGAGAAATGAAAACGTGTCCAATCATTTTATTTCAAATTAAACCAAGCCACAGCTGCCTCGTCAAGCGCGCTTTTCTGCGGGGTACAGAGGCTACGAGGTGTGCGTAGCCAAATTCGATCACAGAGCATCCGTCACTCGTCCCGTGGAAACGGCACCTTTTATCGATGCTATCGCGGAATGAAATTCATGACCTTGATGTCCAGTGCATAGCGAGAACTTCGGCGATTTCTTTTAGAGTCGTTCGTCCGTCGGTGATGAACTCTGGGAATAGGCTTAGCGTTGAGCAGATCGCAGCGTCGACGCACATTCCTAGCGGCGAACATTTTCACTGTGCACTCCTTTAGCTGCACGGCGATCTGATTCGACCGCGGTAAGTCCCAGAAAGAATCGCCAAGCTGAACACCACGCAATTTCACGTAACACAGAACTTCGAAAACACCACGTCGCCCTTGCTGCGCCAGTCGAGGTAACCGCCATCTTGAAACTGACGCTCCCGTTGGGTCCGAGATCTCTCGAGAGCGTCCCGCAAGGCCCGCTAGCCAGCAACGCAAAATCCCCAGCGTTGCGTGCGTACGCAATACGCTAGCCTAGGGTGCCTAGCGGAGCGGCGGAAACATGTAGGCACCCTACGCTAGCCCTTTTATTGCGTTCTACGCATGCGCACTCACGACCCGCAATTTCCTTGCGTACGCAAAGCTATTGAGGAGTTTCAGCGAATATAGGGGGCGCTCCGCTCGATCCAACATGGCGGACAAGAGGGGGATAGATTTGCGACGCCCGTAGACCGGTAGCGTATAAATTAAACAAACCGTGTCGTTCTCTGTTTATTGCCGTGTGCGAGACGATCATCACTTCAACCACGACCTACCGTGATGCTACAAATGAAGTGTTCAAGCCAGTCGAAGGCAAGAAATCTTGCCATAGTCAAGATAGGTGTGCAAGTGTTCGACGTGAGCTCTCACGTTGGTGCAGCTGTCGTCAAGTTGAACCGAATGTACGCGGGTCCAAAGAAAGGTATTTATCAACAATGTTCGCGCGTTGAAACTATGACGCATACTTCATCTAAAACTAAAATTATCGGTCTGCGGCTACAAACATTTTCGTTGACTTTGCTTAGATGATGTAACCATTCCAGCCTCGCATTAAACGTTGTTGCGAACTCTTTGGTTGTTCTAGTTAATTGTCCTAAAAAGCGGTTGGACGGAAAGTATAACAGCTCCAGCATACAAGGGACGATTGAGGTCTTTATCCTGCGTTCTATGTATCGAAACATCGGTATCCTTGGTGTTATATTGCGATCAGCTGGTCGCCGATCGTCCTGTTTTTACGCATAATATAAACAAGCCCCGGAAGCGCCAATCTCATTTCGATGTGCTTGAGCACCCTACAAGCCTCCTTTTGGTTCTTGTGGAAAGCTTTATTGTAATAGCAATAGCCTCATCGGTCGTTCGAGTTGTATGTGCACGGTGATATCTGCTGTGTGTGATCTGCTGACAAACAAGTCTGTATTAAATGCCAGAAGGAGAACACAGGTAAAGCTTTTTTTAACTTTTCGTTTTACAAAACAGGGCAAAGATTCTAAAACAAGAGCAACCTAAGCTGATATTTGAGTGTGCTCAAGAATGAATAGCAAAAGGTGCTTATGCTAGATAGTAGATGTACACAATTGATTTTCTTTTTGCCTCTGCATTGTAAATTGGAAGATATGTATCAGCAGAAGACATGTGTCCCTTTTACAATGTCTTTTATTGGGGCAAAAATAGGTTTTCATACACAACCGAAGAGTTCGCAACACCATTTAATGCGGGGCCTGAATGGTTACATCATCTAAGCAACGTCAATGAAAAGGTTTGTAGCCGTAGACCAATAAATTTAGGTTTAGATAAAGTATGCGTCATAGTTTCAGCCTCAAACGCGCAAACATTCTTGATGTGTACCCTTTTTTGATGACAACTGCACCAGCGTGAGAGAGCCCACGTCATCCAACACTTGCACACATATCTTGGCTATGGTACGGCAAGATTTCTTGCTTGAAGTGAAGATCATCTCGCTATGACTAGCTACGACCACCCGCCGCAGCGATGCAGGCGTCAAAGGGGCGCAACGCAGTCAGTCGCCGTCACTCGACGCTGCTCGTTTGGCATTCACAGCTTTCCGCACAGGTGCTTCGTTTGTACTTGGCACCGAGTGTTATTTTCTGTGCTTGTGTGTGTGCTCGGTGGCTGGATATGGGTCTCAAGAGCAGTTCTTCAGGCTCAACAGCGTTCGCCGAAGAACTTCTGAAAAAAATGTCACACAGGAAAAAAAAGCACGAAGACACAACGCACCAGCTTGGCAGACTATGCACTGGGCGCGGAAATCAGGCCCTGTGGAATATACACCAAATGCAAACTATCTAAACAAAACAAAAACATATTAGGCTCAAATTGGCTTCTGCGGACTCTACGCCTGGACAAAGGTGCTTGTTATGCATTGTGTATTCACTGCTGTTCGTTGTGGCTTGAGACTGCCTTCTTGTAATGATGAAGAGCGGTCAACTGAACCTTGAAATAAACATATTTAAGCACATCTAGATGCGATGTCCCTTGAAGCCAGATGGCCAGGGAAAAGGTGTGCCATTACATAATTTGCCAACAGCACACCAATGGTCACGATCAAAACTCACCGAGTCAATGGGCAGTTTTCCACCCCAATATTTATTGTTGTGTAATCACCAATTTGGTCCATTAAAAACCTTGAGGCTGTAGCCTATAGCACACCCATTCTGGATCTGCAAAGCTTGTGCTGTAGACATGCATCATCACATAAACATGTTTCTTATCAATCTTGGACGTAAAACGCTAGTTATGCAACGAAATTACCATATCATCACATTTTTAGCAAACTTAATGGTCCCACCTGTTACACTTTTAGCTTTGGAAGTAAACCAATTCACAATACCACCAGTGGCATACATCGTGCCAAGCATTAGTGCCGCATGTGGCAGCAAAATGTCTTAACTAGGGAAGCAAACCTAATCGACCGTGTTGAGTAAAGCGCCTAGATACGGGAGAAATTATCAAAGAAGGTCACTCGACAGGGAAGTTTTCTCGCTGAACGAACATGGCTTTTTATTTGGCGTTCCGCAACGTAAGGCCGAAGCGTGATCGGTACAGAAGCATTTGCTTAGTAGTCGGTCGCGCGTGATAAAAAACAACAAAAAACAGGTGGATTAGATACGCGATAGATTCGCCTTTGCACGGAGTACTTCCACTTAAAATCGTGTCGACATAAAGCGACTATGGCCCACCCTTGCTAGCAGCAACCTTAACATTTATCCGTGTAGTCGTCACAGCCGTGCAACAACCGAATGCGTTGCTGCAAGCCCCTCCGCCGTCAACTTTGAGTCGCTGTTGAGTCTGAAGAACTGCTCGATGAGGTCCATATCCAGCCACTGAGCACATACACAAGCACAGGAAATAACACTCGGTTCCAAGTACAAACGAAGGACCCGGGGCGAAAAGCCCTGAATGCCAAACGATCTGCGTCGGGCGACGGCGACCGACTGCGTAGTACAAAGTCTGCGCCCCTTCGACGCCTGCATCGCTGCGGCGGGTGGTCGGGTGGTCGTAACTAGTCGTAGCAGATCGTGTCACCTCTGTTGCTCATACCGGAACACTAGAGCCGCGTAATATTCTTGCTGCCGAAGTTTATAAGTCTACGTTCGCGGCCAACGCATTCACACAAAGCCAACGCCCAGCGAACCTATCCCCCTCGTTCTCCTTCGGCGACCGGCCGCCAGGGCGGTGACACTGTCGCTAAAACTCCTCAATAGCGTACGGTCCACTAAAACTGTCTAATGCCGAAGCAGACGAAAGCAACAGCGCTATACAACGGATCAGACGCAGCCGACGCTACGAGCTGGTAGAACCAATCAGACAACATTAAAAGCGTACCATCATGGTGTTCGCCATGTTTCTGCGCGCGTTCCGTCATCGTTGAACCAAACATAAACAAAAAAGGGACTAGTGACTCGCGCTTTCGACGCTGCTTGATCGGTTCCCATAACCTCGTAGTGTCGACTTCGTTTAGTCCCTGCGCACGCGGAGTGTTCACTCCTGGTGTAAGCAAAAGCGGGCTTGTTTGTAAACACTGTGTGGGTGTATAGCATAGCCACAAAGACGACGAGCCCCATGACGATGCACTTTTGGCGCCGTCCGATTGGCTCCCTCGGATCGTATACCGTCAGGGTCTGCGCTCGGACCTACCGCAAAAAGGTACATACTCTGTTTCATACTTAGCGTGCAACGCTGTGAACGCTACTGGCGCGAGCGTGGGGCTTGATCTCGTTGATCATTTTCACGCGTTCTCGCGCAAGCAAAACCATAGATGAGGTCACGCGCTCGCGCCAGTAGCTTTGACAGCATTGCACGCTAAGTATGAAACGGAGTATAGACCTTTGTGACCTTTACAGCGCTTATCAGCCGGACGAAAAATGCTGAGTCACTGAGCTGTGGACGCATGCGCAGGGTCGGATTTACAGCAGAGCAGAGCAACAGCGCATGCCCAGAAAGCGTTCCACAGCCTAGCAGACAAAGATGGCAGCGCGCAGAAGGCGATTTTTTGCAAAGGTTAATAGCAGCGAACTCTGTTTCGCTAAAGACGAAACAAGAAACAAGTATTACACAAAGCAGTAATAAGCATTAAAACATAGTGAAAAAAAAACAATCAAAAGAAGCAGAATTATTTTTTTTTTTAAATCAGATTATGACGATAATGCAATTAATCCGAAGGTGCAAGCGAGTTGCGCAAGAATAGCGATAATAATCACTGGAAAAGGCGATTATTATCGCCTACTGTGGGATATTACATAACTGGCAAATGGACTGGACTGTGATTCACTGCGGGGACGAGGAAGAAGAGCGAGAAAATATATTAGAGAAGAATCCTCTGCTTCAGGGACAGAATCAGCGCCACTTTTCCTGAACTTCTCAACCTCAAATTTCAGCCACATTTCAAAAGATGGCGCAAGTGCGCGTCTTCTGCTACAACATAAGTCACTTTTGATATTTAAGATAATTAGGCCGCTTTAAGCAAAACTGAAATTATGAAAAGTGATTTAAATTACTACGAGAAAAGCTCTTATAAAAGAAATCGTTGTTCAAATCCTCTTCTCTCAAACAGGTTTCTTGCATACAAAGTCGAGCTTCAAAACATTCTCATGATTTAAAATTATTTTGAACAAACCTAAATATTAATTCATCCAAACCAGCCTAGTTGATCTAGCATACAATTAAAAAAGAGAGAGAGAGAGAGAGATGCTAGAATGCTATCTGAGAAAACCAAGAACGCGTGAATGAAATTCTCTGAAATTTTACCGCAATGAAGTGGTGTCTACGAAAACAAACTGCTGGCGTTGCAATTATAATCTTTATTTTTTTTAGGCTGAGTTCCCATGTTTACCAGGAGTACGCCTTTTAATGTCGTTGTTGCGTTATGACGTGAAACTGAGCTACGACACCTCAAAATCGTAAAAATATAAATTGTTGCAAAAATATCAAAAATGTAAGTGTACTAATAAAGAAGAAACGTAAATGCAGAACCACACACGTTCTTCGTCTATTCACTAAAAAAAAATTAAGAATGCGACTTGGATGCATTAGAAGTCTAAAAATTTGAAACGCGTAGAGGCATATGTCCTCGAAAATATCAAAACTTGCACTTTTTGTTACTTTTATTGTACGTTAAATTTTGATAAATGCACGTAACATTCTGCGCTAAAGCACTAATCATGAGTTGGCCATTTATTAAAAAAAAAAAAATACGTGGCACGCGCCCAGACACGGCAATAGCACCGCAAACAGGAGCGGTAGCACAGCTGCCAACGTTATTATAGTTGGGGCCGTGGGACCGCAGCCTTAAAAGAAATACACATATAAAAGCAACATACAACACACGAACGGTAATTATAAAAAAAAAATATTTTCGGCGGTACTTTTCGACGAAAATGTTTGATTAACATCATTAGCAAAACCGGTGTGATTTATATCATGATGTAAATCATGTTGATTTTTATTCTTCATCCTAATAAAAACAACTCAGGAAAGTATTCTAATAATATAGCGAATTTTTAAGAAAACAATTATTGGGGTAAAAATTGGTTATTGTTCACGCAGACTTCGAAACTTTAAAGATAATAGTGCATATTACTGAACTAAAACTTTTCTTACTCCATGAATTTTAAGGGATTTTTTGCTAGTAAAGTATTTTAGCTGTGAAGTAGGGTTGTCTTCTACGTAGAAGGTTTTCATTGCATCCAACCTTTTTAATCTATGTGGAAGGGGAACAAGCACTTTGGGTTTGAAATATAAAATCACTCTGCAACAGTGGAGTATTGAAGAAAGGTGAAGACTTAAGGTTGGTTGCAAGGCACTTAGCCTATTGGGCCACTTTCAGATGGGGGAATAGGGGAAGGAGAAAATATATTGAAAATAATATTAAGGTAAGAGAAAGCGGGGATCATATAATCACATCAGAGAATTTGAATATATTTATTTAAATACTTTCCGTACTATTAAAGGTACAAAGGCCAGTGAACATGACAAAGGCTAAGAAAATGTGCAACTGCTCACAGTGGTTCAAATCAATAAAGGGTGCTAATTTTTCGTTTATAGATAAGCTTGTTAACAACGCGGATGCCAGGAAAGTCCGAAGGTGGTTCTTTCTAAAAATGTTTTCCAGACGAATGAGTAATTTTTTGCCTGAAAATTATATTTAATATTTTGCGTCGCAAGCAGCGTGAATTGAAGACTTGACAGTGCTGAGTTATGAGTGTTTCCAGTGTGCTTCGTCCGCGCGTAACATCCAACCGACATTAACCATCACATAATCCATTTTTTGTTTTCCTTCCTCTTCTATATCTATACTGCCCTTCCCTAAAATAGGATGACGGAAGTGATCTCTTTGGGAAGAAATACCATACTTGTCAAGTATACTTCCTCTAAACAATAAAACAATACTACTAATGTGCTTAATTCCATTCGTCAGAAGCTTCTTTTAAGAATTATAAAAAAAATAGCACTGAGAGGTCAAGATGTTGAAAGCAGCCTTTAAGACTACGGTGGAAGGCATAAGGTGTGTAAAAACATCCTGACCTAACGGCTTTTCGTTACCATCGGAGTATGGAATTGCTCACTTCATGAAGGATTTCATTCCTCTAGCTCTTTAAGTTGTAATATAGGGTTTAGCACATTGCACCTTTTCATAGTCCTGGCAGAACGTACTAGAAAGAAGAAGAAATGATTAAAAACTAACAAATATAAGTAACTGAAACTGATCAACACACTAACAACGCTCAAGCGTTTCCTTTCCCACAAAACGGTTAAGAAGGCAATCACTGGAACCTGCGGAGGACCACGGCGAATGACGAAGTCGGAAAACCGCCTTCACTAATTATGTATATAAAAAAAGTCTCCCTTCTATCACCGGGAATGACGTTTCACGTGCTCAAGTCAAGCGCAATATAACATCGCAGATTTAATTTTTCCGTAAAAAGGTTTTTCTTTTCTGACCCATTCAAACGCCGGGTTTTCTTCGCATAGATTGCAGTGATCAGCTTTCTGAGCACACTGTTCAAAAGGAAGACGCACAGGCTTTTTAGTTCAAGCTTAGTGCAGGCTAGGTAGCACTTTCAGAACTTCATATGTGTGCACTTCCCTGAGATGCGCTAGAACACCTCGGTCATTCTTTATTCCGCTGAGCCATTGAGATGAGTGAGCGTTATCCGCGGCCCCAATGGTCACAGTCCCGATCCCAGAATTGCGTCTACGCCTTTCGACGTTAAAACTTGAACACCAATAGTGGTCCTTCTTGTTGACTGAGCCCATTAGAGGTAAACCAACGATTGGTGTTACGGGCGTGCGGGCCAATGTTCTCTCGGCGACTTTCGAGGGCGCAAAGGGCTGTTCACGCAGACATGTTAAGCGTGCATGGAAACTTTTGCCGTCCGATGTTGCGTTATCATTGGCTTTCTTACATTTTCGAACACTTATCTCCGGTAGCTTTTATTATAAGAACCTTGCAGGGGCGAACGCGGACTATGATTTTGCTTTCGACCCAAGAAAAGGCGTCTGCAAGCGACAGCGTGTGCTTGAAAACGTCATAACCAGCCGGCACGTTTTCCGTGCACGGTCAGCTTGTCACGTTCAGAGTGTCTGCGGAGACAGCCCTAAAGCCGCGGTCACCTCGGCTTTAAAGCGACGTGGTTGGCCGCGCACTCACCCTTATTGCACTGCACGATGACCTTCTTGACCTGTTCCTCCTGCACCTGCGTCTGGAGCGAGTCCCCGGGGTGCCGACCGGAGTCGACGAGCTCGGTGAGGAAACCGATGTAGCCGATAGCCAAGCGAAGCGTGTCCACCTTCGAGAGCCTCTTCTCGTACGGCAGCGTCGGAATGTGCGCCCTGAGCCCGTCGAAGGCGTCGTTGATGGACTGCATGCGACGGCGCTCGCGCATATTGGCCGCCTGCCGCTGGTGGGCCTGCTGCTGGACGCACCGGTGGCCCCGCTTGCGGGAGCGTCGCGGCCGGCACTCGTTCTCCTGGTCCGGGGACCCCTGGAGCAGCCGGGCGCCGCCCAGGCTCTCCAAGTGCTGCAGGAAGCCCCGGCTGAAGTCGAAGTTGTCCATGGACTTCTTTAAGACGTGTATGTCCTTCCAATGGGTCTGCAGAGACTTTGGTCTGTACACCAAACTAGTCTAACAAAACGGATGCGTTGCCATAGATCGTAGACGACGGTAGTAGTCTGTATGTTCCCCGTCTGAAGTTCGAAGCTGTCCACGGTCCTCTCCAAGACATGTGCCTATCTATGGGGCTGCTGACTCGGTCTGCGCAGACGTGCGTCTGTATGCTGTATAGTGTCCACCGAACTGTAGTCTAAGATGACCGATGCGTTGTCATATGGGCTTCTGAGAGTTGAGTAGTAGCCTGTAGATAACACCGGCTGAAGTCGAAGGTGTCCTTCCTCCGGGACGTGTGCTTCCTCTCGATGAGCCTGCAGACTCGGTCCGTATTAGCGCACACCGAACTAGTCTAGCAAAACGGATGGGCCGCCATAAATTCCTCCTCAAAAGAAAGAAGTAGCCTGGAGTTAACCCTGGCTGTGGTCGAAATTGTCCATCGACTCCTACAAGCCTTCCGATGGGTCCGCACACTCGGTATGTACACTGTATGGTGCACACCAAACTAGCCTAACAAAGTCAATGCACTGAATCGAGTGTTCTCAGAAGGGATGTAATTTGAAGACGAAGTTTTCCAATGGACTCCAATACATAAGCCTCTCGATGGGTCTGCATACTCTGTTCGTGCAGACATGCGTCGGTACTCCGTATGGTGCAAACCGATATAATCTAATAAAATAAATGTGTTGTCATCCGGGTTTCTCGCAAGTCAGTATTTGTCTGCAGTTAATCCCGGCTTAAGTCGAAGTTGAATGCGAACTATAAGACGTGTGCCTCTTGATGAGACTAGTCAAACAAAATCGATACGTTGAGGTGAAGTTTCTCAGTAGACTTCTAGCAGTTTGTAGCTTTTGAGTACACGGAAATTAAAGTTTCAAAACTGATTCCTGGAACAGCATCTACGCCTGTAAAGCTTTGTAACTTTCGGGAGAGTAGGTTTCAATTTCGCCCGAGACGAGTGAGCGATTGTTCCGGAAGCGTGGTTCGATTTTGTAATGCCAGCACTGAAGTTTATCGTGCATAAAGTGGGTCCTTCTTTGGAAGCCAATGCTCTGTCGAAGAATTATCTCTGGGAGTTGAAGAGCTGCTTTGTCCTCATTCCTGACGGAACCGAAACAGCAGAGTTTGGTGGAATTCAAGACTCGCACTTTTGCACCGCTGACTCGTCCTGAAAAGAGTACGCCACAACTTGCCGGACAACTTGAGTGTTTCGAAACTCGACAAAATCCATTCGTGTGTGACCCGCTGCTGTGTAATGAAATTCCGAACTTTCAAATGTGATCCAGCAATAAATTGACTATTCGGACAAGGACACTCAAACTAGTTCGTCCGCGGAAAGCAAATAGCGGCTGCTACCTTCCCGGAATACTGTCTCAATACTGTCTGTCCGCGAAACATCTGCGGTCAACGAAGCTTAAGGCTTCCGAAGCACCATAAAACCACCGTCAGATTACCGAAACGGTCAACTTTAAAACCGTTGGGACCTTATCGACTTGTTTCTTTGAAAATGGATTGCTTTGGGTGCTGACTCAACTATCAAAGTAGAGGATGCGGAGGAATGTATTTACACTCGACGGTGTACTCAAAGAGTCCGTACCCCAGAGTGCACAGCATCCAGGACTGTCCGACTTCAAACAGTTGTTCCACCACAGTCCCGAAATCACAGATGGTTCGTGAACACGCCGAGCATCCCTTGATCACCCGTCCTCTTGCAGTCACCGAATGTATCCGTTCGATGGGAGCTTCACTATAATCACCTGGGTTCACGGGTCCTCGCGCATCAAGTCACCAAAAAGCATCACCGCGGGATTAACACTTCTGGACTTGTTTCCGTCATTTCGGTCGGGGATCTCCGTGCCCAACAGACTGCAATGCATGTCTCCCACCCCGGATGGCTTCGATAAAATTAAACCCCCGCATATCCAACCTTCGGTATCGATCAACCGAAAGTAGAGACGCAAGTCCACGGACATTGCGGTACTTGAAGCCCCGCCCCTCGCTGTTACCGCCAGCCAATGGGAGAACGCGTCCGGTCGTCACGGCATCGACCACGGGGCGGGAGAACCGCGGTTTCAACCTCTCCCCGAGGCCCGCTTCGATGGCGGGGTCTCTCTGTTGGTCCCGAAGGGAGGAGGAAATATGAAGGCAGATGTCGGCGATCTCGAGAGAGCAGGGGCACCTGTCGCGTCTTTTGGCCCTCATGCAACGTGGACTCCGGCAGTCGATAACGTCGGCTATACGGTCGCACAATGGCGGCGGAAAACAAGGACTGTCTCCTGTTTTCTTGTATAAAAGTTAGCCAGGTGTACGGCGACTGCACGCGATTTGGGGTTCCGAAGTTCTGGACAGGTGCTGGACCCAATATCGACTGGTCGTGCGTGCAGCAAGCAGGCAGGCATCGACCGTGTCCGCAGCAATGAGCTGCTCGTGAATTGGGGGGTGGCGTGGCAAACAATTGTATACAGTGAATGACCGTAGCGAGATATTGGTGATGTCGTCGGCTTTTGAATTATGTATAGTTTTCCATACAGCTTATATGCTCGCTCGGTTTGGTGGTACACTACCGCGGAAGTATAGTTTGTAATGAATCGAAGACATGCGATTTCGCGAGGCTGTTTAAACTTAAATGCGTCATGGAGGTTTGTAGTTGTCATGAATCATTATTTTCTTATTACCAACATTGTACAACGCAATATTTTATACATTGTTCACGATATCCACATGATCTGGTGAATGAGGTCCATAGTTAAGCCCTAGAAAAATTCTTTTTTTTTTAAATTTATATACTTAATTTTTCCAGCTCTATACCCAAGCACACCGAAAGTTGGGAACCGTATTCCCCCAATAACATTAATTTAATTAAACTAGACGTTGTCACGTAATTTAGTCCTTACAACTAGTAACCACCACATTCTGACATCTAACTAATAACTACTATTGCAGCTCGTTATTTATCTTAATATCGGCATCTCAAATAGCGAATCTATTTATTGCAAACTGTAGTAATAATTGAAAACAAATTAGTCTATTCAAATGTCGGGATATCATAAATGTTATAACCTATTTCGTCATTTCGCACATTTACAAATGTGCACTTCTTAATTTAACGTCGAATTCCCCATGCCCTAATAATTCCTTAATTTAAGGTCTCCTGGCTCTAAATTACAAACATCTATTCAATCCTAAAGCTACGAAAAATAGCGTTCACTGAAGTTTTGAACCACATAATACAAATCACGAGTCTTAACACCAATGTTTTGGGGTATGCTATAGTACACTCAATTATATACATTGGGCACTAATTTAAAATTATTTTACAAAAAAAAAAAAACGAGTTATGTTATGTGAAATTTAAAAGAGGACTCAACGGGAGTGATGACGAGATAAAAAAAAAATCGACGTCAATCGCCATAATGATTATATATATATATATATATGTGTACGACGATTGTATAGACCAAACAAGCTGAATCAAAATTGCATAAGCGCAATTATACGCATTTGCAAGCGTCAACAGTTTTCAGATTTATCAAACCTACTTTCAGTCTTCTTATTTTCCAAAGCGACATTGTTTGAATCGACTAAAACTCGCTCCGATTGGTTGGACAAGCTTCCTGCGCCGTTGGCTGTCAGGCATGAAGCGAGGCATTTTGCACTCTGAATATCAGCTCTATTAATTTTATTACTTGCAGCGTCTGGAATATTTTTATCTTCTTTGTCCCTTTGGTACTGCACCACCTGTTAGTGAACTGGAACTTATTTATTCAATACCGAATAAATAAAAAAAATGATGTTGTCACAGACATCTGTTTTCTATGAAGCAATGTGTTCGTTGACCCTTTTTTTTTAATATTGGGTACAACCTGCACACATTTAAGGGTCTTTTCATTGTCGCCTCATAGAACGCACACGGCGAAAAATGAGCGTAGAAATAACGAACACGTTACAGGGAGTATTCACTGGCGGTCATAGCAGTGTGCGCGACTGCTGAGCGCGTGCTGACGGCGAACTTCCACAGTTCTTTTTCAGCGTGCGTTCCACACCATCAAGATTGCCGGTCTTAGCAGCCTATTAACGTGACCTCGCTTAGAGCACGCGCTTTAAAGAGCACCCACAAATATGGCATCCAGTCAATAGTCCCTATAAAAGATGCGCAAGCTGGATTAGAAAACTTATTTTGGACAAGTCATAACCGACGTATCACATAGACACTGCTAGAAACACCAAAAACTTAAAACACGCGGGCTTGAAGAATTTCGAGCATCATATCAACACTCCACATGGAATTAGATTGCAGCATAGCCTTATCAGATCGTAGAAGAACTAACTTCGAAGAAAAGAAAGTGAACATTCTATACGAGGTTGGATCCAAACTTTTCTGGGAACATTTGGAGCTGCGCTACACAAGTTGTTTCGGACCACATACGCAGCAATAGTGGAAATATCAGCACAGACTGCAAACCAGAGAGAGAGCGAGCATCGATTCTGCGTCAAACTTGGCAAATCTAGAACAAAGACCTTTGGAATGATTCGGCAGACTTATGACCATAAAAGTCAGTGAGGCGAGCGAGGTGTTTTGGGCGGCACTCGCCCTTCAAGAATGACAAAACATAGCTGGAAGACAAAAAAAAAAAAAAAAGTCGGGGAGGTTTTTTTATTTTTCTTCATTTTCCCGTGTTGTGTCATTCCTGTAGCGCGAGTGCCACTTAAAGCACCTCGCACACCTCTCTGCTTTTTCGCCGTAAGCCTTAAAAATCATTTCAAAAGTCTTTGTTTCAGATAGGCCAAGTCTGACGCATAATTAATGCTCGCTTTCGCTCTAGCTTGCAGTCTTTGCTGCAGTCGCCCTTGTTCTCGCGAACGTGGTCCGCAAAATTCGTGTGTAGCGCTGCCCCAAATGTTTACAGGACGACGCCCTTTGGCATGATGAGACTCAAGAGTCGCTGCCCTCGTCAGCAGCGCGCGCATCACCGTGTTGCCTCCTCTTTTTGTGTTACAAAACTATACAGGAGGAGAAATTTTTCTGGCATTTCCGAAGAAGTGAAGAGCGCGCGAGCACAGCAATGTGATCGACGCTCAATGTGCGCCGATCACACTTGACACAGCGTACATCTGTAGGTGACGAAGGCAGTCCGTAGAAAACAAACGTCTGAAAGATTGACAGCCCCGTATACGCCGGCACCGGGCGCACGCTCTGCAAATTAGACGCATCTGCTGATAAGATGCTTCTGACCTCAACCGCATGTGGACGCCCGCACCTGCGCCGTTTGCGTCTTATCCTTAAGCGTGCTCCGATAAAAGGAAATCTGCAGTTTGTTCACCTGACACAAAAAGGGCTTCCCTGCAGATAAAACCCCGATGCCCTTCGCTCGCAAGTTCGGTCGAGCAACAATCGAGAGTAATCCGTGAGGCTAGGGTTGCGGGTGCACAAAGCAATTAATATAGTGGACTCCCGAGTTGGTGGAGTGTCCTTTTTTACAGTCACTGAGGACTTCAGTAATACGAGGCGTGGATTGTCATCATCTCGCATCTTGCTTCGCAGTACCTTCTTCGGCGTCCTTCTCAGATCTAAGGCCGCAACCTTATTGGCTACTGATCGATAATAAGGTGCTCGGAATTGGCCACGCCACGTGTTTATTAAGTTGACCTTAACCATAAACGTAGAAAAATTTCCTTAGGGAGGCACCGGGTAAATTCTGGCGCTATGTAAATCCTCTGGCAAACGCCAAAAAAGATTGCAGGTGTGGAAATGCTCTCAGGTGAGCTGATGACCTCAACTCATTTTTTTTTTCGTCGGTGTTCGCTCTGGATAACGGAGTTGTGCCGAGGAGTGAAGACATAAATAATTACCCCCCGATGAACAATATTGAAGTAAATGAACAAGGAGTCCTAAACCTACTACTTAATATAGACATAAAGAAGAGTCCCAGGCCTGACGGAATCCCCAATGCATTTTTAAGAAGGTACTGTGAATGGGTTGCCAAATATTTAACCATTATTTTCCAATCATCACTCTCGGAGGGTTTGTTACCAACTGCATGGAAATGTGCTAAAATCATTCCTATACACAAAAGTGGTACTACTTCTGATGTAAGAAATTATCGCCCCATATCTCTTACCAGCACATGCTCCAAACTGCTCGAACATATCGTATCAAAACATCTTCTCAGTTATCTAGATAGCAATGATCTATTTTATCATTCGCAGCACGGGTTCAGAAAGGGCCTTTCTACTACAACCCAGCTGATCGAAACCGCTCACGAGCTAGCCCAAACAATTAATCATCGTGGTCAGACTGATATAGTATTCTTAGACTTCGCTAAGGCTTTTGATAAAGTGTCTCATCAGAAGTTATTACTAAAACTGAACAATTTGTTTAAAAACACAAGCATAACACAATGGTTTCATTCTTATCTATCTTCTCGAGTGCAGTTTGTTGAAACTGGTGGTCGTACATCAAGTTTTGCTCCGGTGCTTTCTGGGGTGCCTCAGGGAAGTGTTTTGGGTCCGCTGTTATTTCTAATCTTTATAAATGACCTCCACAATGTAATTAACGTGCCAATACGATTGTTCGCAGATGACTGCGTGATATATAATGAAATAAGAACACCCGATGATCAGGCCGAATTAAATAGAAATCTACAAAACATTAACAAATGGTGTCAAGATTGGCAAATGGTTTTAAATCCAGGAAAATCAGTCTTTATGACAGTTACGAAGAAAAAACAATTTCTGAGGTACGACAACTGTATCAACGAGCATGAGCTCGCAAGGGTAACTGAGCACTAGTACTTAGGCTTAACATTCACTTCAGATTTACGTTGGAATGCTCATATAGACATAGTGTCTGCAAAAGCCAATAGATCGCTATGGTACCTAAAAAGAGACTTTTCGTATGCCTCACCGGACGTAAAAAGCCTCGCCTATAAGATTCTTGTTAAGCCAGTCATAGAGTACGCCAAAAA